TTTCACTGGAACCAAGAGGATTTCTATTATGATTCTAATTGAGTATCTTCAGTTGCAGATAATGTGCTGTTTTCTTTCTGAATGCTTTACAAATTCTTTTGTTTGTCTACATTTTCACTGTAGTCTATCTAGGTGTGAATTTGCTGTTGACTCTATCCAGGACCCAGAGGAGGCTTCTGTTATGACTTGAATCTCTCTTTAGCCACTCCGTGCATAAACACTGCCTCTCTTATTCTCTGCTTCTGGAAATCCTAAAAGGATGTGTGTTCTGTCCTTTATTCCCTCAGCTTTTCTTTCATGCTCTCCGTTGTAGAAGTTCAAACTTTAGCAGGGTGGGTGTCAGCAGAGGCCACATGGGAGATACAGACTTGACCCTGACCTGGCAGCAACGAGGCAGTGCCCCCTTCATCCACACTCCTGGGACTAGTGTTGGCACAGATACTTCTGAATGAGACCACTGCTGACATCCCTTAGCTCAGACTTACGTATGCAGCCCCTTCTCCATCCTGGTCCTGGTAAGAAAAGACCAAGGTATGAATTCTGCGTTGCTGTCCTCACCTGGGCAGGGCTGGGTGCAGGTTTCTTCAAGGACCGTTTTTTTATTACCATCTATAATGGGTTCAATGTCAGTACAGAATTCTTCGTCCACCACTTTGCTGAAATCATCAGCCGACCCATCACTCACTACACAAGAAATGTTCCTTGTTCTGGTCCCTTCGCCACACTGGGCATCCTGAAATGGAGGAAGAAATAACTAATTAGGAAAAGAAAAATAATTCATTAGTGAGCTCATCGCTTACAGTCATCTCTGCACCACTGATTTTGATTTATGAGTAGTTACAGGAGCATCTGAAACCTGAGGGGAGAAGCCCGAGAGGGCACTAGCTATAAAGCATACAGGGAGCAATTTATTTGTTTTTCAGCCAAAGACAGGCAAATAAATTTTCATTAAAATGAATCAGTCTCCAAATGATTTTAAAAACATAGGACAGGGAGTGCTTGTTATCAAAACTAATTAAAGTTATGAAATGGCAAGGTACCTAAGATCGTTAAGGGAAACAAACAGGCCATCTATAAGCTATGAAAAACATTTCTGAAACCAAGTCTCTGCAGATAAAGAATACACACTTCCATGCAACCTCCTAAGATCTGATACCTGCACTTGGCATGGAGACCACTGGCCATATTGCCACTGGTAACAGGGCTTCACTGGGCAAGGCTTGGACTGTTCCATCAGGGCAGGGCATGGTCTGCCATCACCTTGGAAGGGCTGGGTCACTGTTCGTCTTCGGATCATTTTTCCTTTAAGAGATACAAAGCGATGCAACCTTAGTGTAAGCACATATCTTAATGGGAGAAGGCACCATAGATGTTTCTCCTGAGGAGATCTCAGGAACAAGTAACATTTAGGTATTTTGGAAAGAGAGACACCCTAATTCAACCTTTCTGAAGATCGGACTTAGAGCAAGAGGGACACTGTATTTCCTATTCCTTGACTGTTAGTCTAGTGCTAATTACGGTACAAACAAACCTGTGAGGCCACATGTTTGAGAACACTGTGACCAAGGAGACCAGTCAGAAAGCTGACAGTTCACGGGGCATTCCACCATGCAGGACGCGTTCATCTGCCAGTTCTTCTCCAGGCCGAGCTGCAAGGATAGAGCGAGATGTGTTTGTAAGGACATGACCGCAGTGTTGTGATGATGGAAGGAGTGGGGGAAAAAGGAAAAGACAGGACCAGGGCGGAGAGGAGAGGAAGAAAAAGCAAGATATGTCATAAAAACATGTCTGCAGGGCAAACACCCAAACTGTTGACGTGGTTCGAGCCCAGAGAGAGGGAGCCAAAGGCACAGGATGATGGCAAAACCCGTTCCTCAATACATTTATCTATTGTTGAACTTTTAACATAAGCAATGGAGAAAGCAGACTTAATCTCCAGATTGGCTGAACTTCCCTGAATAAGGAGTAAATGGGAAAAGCACGGTTACTTTCTGTTAGTAAAACTAAGAGTGTCATCAGTACAGCTGTAAAGTTGTATCTTTGGGATGCTATTTATTTTTACGCGTGCATATCAAACTGAAGCAAAAGATGAAAAAAGGCTTTAAAAATTGCCACTCAAAACCAAAAAATACTTAATGAAATAATACAAAGTAGTTTTTAAGTAAACTCTCTCAGAAGGAAGGTCACCAGAATTTTTTTGATTATGAACATTTACAGACACTTGTTATTTTTACAAAGACTCTCCTTAAAACTGATCTCAGCAGCTAACTGTGGTGTAGTCGTTATTCTGGCGTTAGCCTCTCCTCAGATAACGTTATGCATTTTACTGTATTTACTTTCATTCCTTATTAAGTATTCTACCTTTACAATATAGGATGAACTTGAGTATGTATACAAACATTTTAACAAAGTAGCACTGAAATAGAAAAAATTAAGATCTTGTTAGGAAAACGCCACTTTTTACATTGGTACTCCTTGGGCATTTTCAAGACCTTTTTTATTTCTGCCTGAAAGATAAGTTTATGGTGTCTAATTTATATAGCAGAAAATGGCAAAAGAAACTTTCCCTGAAATGTTATGTTGTGGTTCAAGTATAGCTCTTGGCTCTAAGTTATTCACTGAGAGATGATCTCTGTACCACATCCCTCTGCTGGCACTCCCCTTATATTTCCACTAGTAATACCTGGCAAAGCTGAGTACTTGGTGTGAAAACTTTCATCATATCACTTAATCTAAGGCTCATAAAATCACTTAAAAGTCACTGGAGATTGGCAATAGGACTCTTAAGGTGACATGATAAAAATGATGTGTGTTACATTTAAGGTAGATAAAAAGTTTCATAGAAAAAGGGTCTGAATCATTCTTCAACTACTACTGGCTTATTTTACTAGAGAATTAAAAAGGATGTCTGTTTACAGATATTCTGGGTGTCCTGTGGCAAGACAGTTTCCCCCATGCTACTGTCCCCCTTACATTTATTGCATTTTCTGTCTGTCTGTCTGTCAATCATTAATCCAAACATATATTCAGGGATCAAAGAACAGAAAAGGAGAAACCAATTACTAGTTATCATGTGAGTTAGTGTCTGAAAAACATCAAAGACAAAAGTGCTACAGAAATGCTGGATGGGTTTAACCCTAACTTTCCTCTTTGTTGGGTAGTAATGCCATCTTTCTTTCTGGCTGTTAGAGAAACAGCGAGACTTAGCTACTGCTGTTGCACTGAATGCAGGGTTTGCACATGAATTAGTAGGTACGCAATCAATCTATTGTCAAAAAGATAGCCAGCTTTTCTCAGGGCTATTATTTGATTCTGCTGCTTCCATAGGGATGGATAAAATGAGATCTGAGTTGTTTAATCCAGTTCCTGCAAAGAGTAGCACTGTTCTCCCTGAAGACAGTGTTTGATAAAATGTTATGATTTGAATCCCTAATTGTCATTGCAATATTCAAATATGATCATATTTGTCCATAAAAGTAAATTTATCTAGGCTCCTAGATAATTTAAATTACAGGCACTCACGTTTCATTTAAGAAATAAAAGGCCCTATTTATAGCTTTGTCCTGTAGTCATATGAAATATTTAAAAGCTAGTCTTGTATAATTTGGGTTTAGCTTTCAGAAAGCTCTGAGCTATTCATCCTTATTTCGTTCTGACCCAGGAAGGCATTTACAAGTGCATTTGCAAAAAAAAAAAAGAGACATAATAACCAACTAGAAGTAGATCACAGAAAGCTCTCCAACCTGTATATGACTATAGTAATATTATTTTTATAATGACCACATTAACTTTAATGTTATTAATTTCAAAACCAAATTGATTCAGGTATGAAATTTCTAATTAAATCTAAAGCAATAACTAAGTTATAAGATGATAGTGAGAGGAATTGATTAACTAAACAGCATGTTTCCAGCACATTTGGGAGCTCTGTTCCCATCGACAGAGATACAGAGAGTTAAGTTAGGTCCACATGATAAAGACATCAAATGGATTAAAATAGTTCCATCTTGGGTTTTCCCTTAGGAGTTGGAACAGTTTACTGTGGGCAGATACTAACCCCCAGGATGTGTAGACAGAAGCTGTGGTCATCTGTCTACTGAACCCTGATGAGGTTAAGTTCTTCCCTGTATGTCCAAATTTATAGAGGCTGCTGCTTATCTTGGTTCCTGTTTAACCCAGTGGGCCTCAGATGCAGGAGTCAAAACCTGTCAGGAAGAGGTGTGCCCTTTTGGTCTGGAAATCAGACAAAATAATTACAACCTGAAGAGCAGCTTCATGAAAACTAAGGCAGGCCAACAACTATGTTTTCTCAGATTTCCTCAGGTCACAGCTGATGAAATACGATCCGACATCTTCATACTGTTGGGTTAGTATGAAACTACTGGGGGCATTACTTTTGTAAATTGGAGAATTAACAGCTACAGTTCTCTGTACCTAAAGGCACTAATGGCAGACTCCCTTCCTTTGTCTGAATTTCAAGCTCCCTCTTATCCAGACCTTAGTCATACATTCACAGCTGGGTATTAGATCCTAATATCAAAATCTGCTACCAAACCACATGCGATCAATGTTTTGGAACAGAGAGAGTAAATGATGGCTCTTGGCAGGTGTCCCAGGCAACACAAAATTCACGTGAAATTACAAAAGATGATGAGTAGTCTGATTAAGATTTATTGCCTCTATGCACCTTGATTATTTATTGTTCCCCAAGCATTTCTTTCAGAATAGGCTAATTAGCATACCTTTAGGCTCCAAGCAGAACAAAATACAGGAAATTATGTGTAGAAATCAGTAGTGTTGGGCCGTGTCTCTTTTCAAGAGGGTGCGTAGCAGCCTCTGAATAGCGCAGAAAACATCTGCTGGCAACGAGCTGCACAACGCACTGGTCACTTGGCTCGGCATGAGTTGAAATCATTTGGAAAGAATGTACTCACAAAGATCTAACCCAGCATCCCCTTACCTCTTCACAGTACTTCAGGTTAACCGACTTGCCATCACTTCGAACACAATCCAACATCCTTGTTTTCATGCCATTTCCACAAACTGCCTTCTCACTCAGCTGACACGTACTCCAGTCTGAAAGGAAGGGAGCCCATCAGCACAGAAGGCTACGTAGGAAACAGATTTCAAAGGAAACTCGGATGACCTGAAACCCATATTTAATTCACAACTGCTTCCTAAGCCCCACAATCAATCATCCCACATGCAGAGCATATGGGTCTCGGCTTTGAGCATATCAGGAGTCAAACGGCATTGCTGGGGTTGCACACGGCTGCAGGGATCATTCCTGAAGGCAGATGCCTGCTTGTCAAGCTTGACGGCTGGCCGTTTGGTGATGCTGTAAAAATGGTCTGGCCTGCAGATCAAAGGGCATTTTTCCCTTATGAAAGTAAAAGTTTAATTTTCAATGTTTTTGTTTTAGCGAAATAATCATAATTTTAATGGCTGGTACTTTGGGTAGCTGTATTCAAATAAAACACTATTTCACTTACTGTTCATACTTAGAATGTTTTAAAATGTACACTTCAATTTATTTCAAAATCACTTTGGCCATATTTATTTCACTTATTTTCTGTCTTTGGCAAAATAATTCTTTCCTCTTTCTTTCCAGGGTAACATAACATGTCCCAGAGAACTGTGATTTCATTCTGTCATTAAAGGAAATTGAAGAGAAAAACTGAAAGCAACAAAAAGCCAACCTGACTGCTACATGTCATTGTACAATTTCTGGAGTGTATTTCAATGTGAAAATCACTTGGGAAAAATTCCAGAATAAGCTTCAGTGTTGTCCTAAGTCATATAAACCAAGAAACTTGCCTTTCCTAAAGCGTATGCCTTGATGGTATGAGATGAGGATTTAGGGAAAAAAATGGAATTTATAATGAGCCTTTTTCCTTAAAAAAAAAAAAAACCCTCATCTATCTTTTTTCACCTTTGGTAATACTGAAATTTTTATATTTCCTACATACATATTTTGGCAAGCTTAAGATCGTTGATATTTTTACATCAGACTAATCATGCTTATGAACTGCCCCTACAGAAAAAATTGCTATCCCAGTATTCACGGCGATTAAACATCTTCTGAAGAAGAAAGACATCTTTCAATGAAAGTGATACCCATGGGGAAAAT